AACTTGATTTTTTTGAAAAATTGATTTATTGAATAAATATTTTGCATTACAAATATAAAATTATTTAGATCAGATTATATATTTATGAATAAAAAAAATGTATTTATTATATATATATATATAATATTATATTATCGAATGTTTACAATTTTTATGAAAAAAAAAACTTAAGTATTTTGTCTATAACTGGAACAATAGTTTATGGTTTTTTTTTTCTTTACATAATTAGCAATATTTTATAATCCCATGAATACTTCTGACGTATCAATATCGCAAATTACAGATTAGATAACTAAGTATCATATCAGATGAAATGCAATTTATTTTTGTAGACGGATAAATAAATTAATTTTCATTTAAAAATTACATCGTTTTATCTGGACTATCGTTGTAACCGATATGTAATATCCAACTAAAATTACTGCATGTGAGATATAAAGCCAACTAAATACATAGCCGAGAATCGTTCAGAATATCGTTATATATTGTATCGTAATTATCGGATTATCCTGTAATTTATCACAAAACATCCGTTTGTGGAAATCTTTAATTCATTAATTAATATTCACTTGAAATATCTATGAACCATGTGGCTGTACGTAGTATTCAGTTAAAAATATTCCTATCAGATACGGAGAAAAAACAATTTCGAAACCATTTTTGTTTTTGTAAGTTACGTTATAGTTTTTATAAAGGAATAAGGGTGTATAGTATGCACTGCATACATATATCTTCCAATCAATACAGTTTGAACGGAGTGACCAGTAAAACAATATAATATAAAATTACAATTTAAAATTATTCGTATTAGTATTTCTGTAACTGAAATTGGAACTGAAACGTTTCGATTTTATATTTTACATTTTTATTTCATTTCATATTTGTAGACCTATTAGTTTAGTGATCGTACCTATTTTATTATCAATTTATAATTATTTAATTTTGCTTGGATTGAAATTAGTAGTAGTAGTAGCAGTATAAGTAGAAGTAAACAGGATACAAACAGATCATGATAAAGACGCCGTTTATATAAATACAAAAATCTAATATTTGATTTTTCGTGTCACATTTTCAAGTCGTAACAGAATTATATTTCTTAGTGATGCTTAAAATTTTAAAATTGTTTAAGGAGTAAACGATTTAAAGGCTTTTAAGGTGAAGAAAAAAAAGGCGCGTTAAACCGATAACAGTTATTTTTCAATTCTTTACCTAATTCCGTTCTCCCGGATCTTTCGTTCAAGGTTTATAAACGCACGTGTACGATGATTGTTGCATGGTTAACGCGAAAATTTGCCTACAAATACCTGACTCATTTCGATCAATTCAACATAACGTTTGTCGATAAATCTATCACTTGACCCACGTGCTTAGTTAAATTGCCTTACCAGTATAATAGCATACTAAAGCGGCTATAATATAATATTTGTATATATATTATTATATAAACATATTTGTATATTAGAGAATCCCAGCATAAAGCTGGTAAGCAATGTTGTTAAAATTCCTCTTTCTCTATCTCTCTCTTTTTCGCGGAGTTCTTGAACTTTTCATCAGTGCGTTGTGTAAATAGTTATTTTTAATTTCATGACAAACGCGGCATACTAAATAGTTACTCAAGACGATTACTATTTAATTATTTCGAGAGTTAATTTTTACTGTTCTTGTGTAACACACGCAGCATATGTGATGACTGTTTTCATTAAAGCCCGACGACGAATTAAAATCCTTGAATGCAATTTTCGATCGATTGTCCGAAAGACGATAAAATGAGCTTAATTAAATTATTTTGTCAAGCTCAATCCGCAAATTAATCGAGTCCGTTGCGCTCTAAGCAAAGCTTATAAAATCAATTTATACATCTCAGTTTAATTTTAAGTCATCATTATTAACGAATTATTACTTATTGGTATTTGGTACACTTTTTTGTTCTCAAACCGTCAAGATACCAAGGTACAAATAAGCACGTTTACATATTTTGTATTTATTCGATCGAAATAAATTCCATTCAATCATAAGTTAATCATGACTAATGTGTGGGTTTATATGAACGAGAGATAAAATATTTCGTACTCGTAAGACGTGCACCCAAATGTATTGTGCAACAAACGTTTATGACCATTATTATAAATCACGTACGATAACAATAACATATTTGTAATACGTTTTATAAACCGGTATGCCTATTCATATACCGTTAAAAGCATATTCTATTATAAATATACACACACATTAGAGAGATTAAAAATAAGAAAAATCGATTTTTTTTTTTTTTATCTAACGAGTACACTATTTTTAAACCGTTATGTATTGTGTTCTGAATGATTTCAGTGAATTTGGTGGTTATGTTATTAATGAAACCTCAATACGTTAAATTGTTGTTCATTTTTTTGAATCGATAAATACAGTTGACATCGATGTGTAGACGTTTGATTATTGAAGATACTTGTTTTTCGACCATGTATCAATTGCGCCGAAAATAGCAGGTAAAGAAAGAAAAATGATGGAATAGGAAAAAGGTTTTCATCAACTACGCCGATCAATATTCGAATGTAGATAATATTGTATGTCGATTTCGCCAATCGATTCCTACATACATATAAACGTGTATAATATTATTATCACTGTTTTCAGAACTTGAAAATTACCAGAATTGAACATTTGGTAATAAATGGGTTTTCGTTGATGTGCTCGTAAGTACTTTTGAAAACCATTTTTTTATCATAATATTATTTTTTTATTTGAAGGTAAAACAAAACGTCGTTAAATATTATATTTTTGCAAAATAAATTCGTAGTATTGTTCAGTATAATTTCACGCGTTGTACGTATAGTCGTCGTGGCTCGTGCTTGAATTTATAATGGAAATAGTTTTAAGTGAACACGGTAAAGAAACAATTATTTATCAGAATTATAAATTTTCATGTAAAGAACTTACCTATGTGTCTTATCAGTTGGGTAGTTAAAAAATCACTACACTTCATTTTTATATCGATGCTATAGATGTATATTATACACATGGTAGTCTCCCAAAATTGGTGCAATTAGTGAATACTGCGTTTTTCCTGTACTAACATCATTGCATATCAATGGACAGTAAATTTTCACCCACCGACAAGTTAAATATTATTATCGTGGTAGTATATCGTTTCAAAAATAATGATTGAACCGTAATAGTTTTCAAAATTACAATTTACCAGTTTTCAGATAAAATCTGGTTGATTCAAACCGATAATTTAACTTCATAGTTCTTAAATTAACATTCACCACGCACTCCTTTGACTTGACACGGTATTCATTTGTTTACAAATTTTCCAGCGGCCATAATACAGTTTTCAAAAAAAAAAAACAGTTTCACTAACGACAAAACACTTTCGATCGATGAGGATTACGTTTCTCTATCGTTTTTACAGATAATAAAATATAATAATCTTCATTGTATAACAGTGGCTCGTATTATTGTGTACGCGTGATAATACTCTATTTATTCCATCCGGGATGAAATACATAATATTAGATCTAGTAAATTTAACCGGTTATTGATAATAAAAATTATCTCGGTAATTTAAATTTTAATAAATCAATTTTAAAATTTTAAATTACTCAAATTTAGATCGATACTTTTTTATTTGGTTTCAATTTATTTTTAGTTATTTATATACGCATCATTGCGGTCTAAAAAAAAGCGGGAAGACATATTGTTATCTTCCATACACTGCCGAATATTTTAAAACTATTTACCTCGTATTAATAATTTTAAGAATGTAAATAAAGTGATACAATATTACAGTAAAAATATCAGTATCTTGGCTATTCATCTTTCTTTTTAGAATCTAAACAAAAAACATATTAATATCATAATGAGTAAAAAGTACTATTTTACGGTGAACGTGCCCCCCTTGTCCCCCTAACTATAAACAACCATGAAAGTACTTTGACTTCGTGTGTTCTGTTTACGTAATAATTAGCATAATACCGTTAATGTACTAAAGCCTACGACTGTGTCTCATTAAAACACGTCGATATCGGAACTGAAACGTTATAAACCAGTCTTCGACGTATACTGTGTAAACGTTCGCGGTCTGTTTATCATTATAGTTATGCACCACATTCTTTTCGACGATGTCGTCCGAGATTACGCGAAATGACTGTTTAATTTTGTTATTGTAATACACATTTAATCGATTATCTGGTGCATTCGATTCGCTAATATAACGCTCATTCGTGCGCTCGTTTACGCGTAACGTAATCCCCGGCACCGTGAATCCTTTAGGATGTGACGCTTCGGTCAAAGTCATAGGCGCGCCGTGAAGTATTTTTCCAATAATTCTGAAATTAAGTTGAGAGCTTAAAATGTTTAAATGGCACCGCTTCCAACACGAAAGTATGATTATCAATTACATCGGTTTTGTTTAGTTTGATTTTTCACGACGTAAATTCCCATTATTCGTCAATCTCACTTTGCGAGGACGTCATTGCACATATTCTCATGTGAGACAAACCTACAGTACACGGTCGACATAATGTCAACGTATTTATATATATATATACAAGATATTATTAAATTTTGAAGCCGAGTCGATCCCGCAGAACATGGATCCTTTTCGGTTTCTTACCCTTTTGGCTGCGTGAAGGTACACGAAAAGATGTTTCCTTCGTCGAAATCGTTACAAGGTTTTCGATAAGGCGTCTGATTTTTATGCCGTTGGAAGTATATCTATTATAATAATATTACATCCGTCCTACAATCGTGTCTGTTATGGTGACGGCGGAGGAGTTTGTTTGCGTATATATGGGAATATCCCTTGTGACGTCATCGGCCAGGAATCGCAGAGAGTTCTATAAGACGTGTTACGATCGACTTATGAATCGGCGTGCGTATGTGCGTTTACGTAAATGTGTAGTGTGGGATCGCCGTGGCTAAAACGATGACGTTCCCAGTGAAAGTGTTACGGCGGCGATGAAGGTTTTGCGATTGCACACAGCGCCGTATGTCCAGTCGGCCATGGGATTTACCGGATGGACACGCGACACTACTACTACCACTGGTACTAGTATAATTAATAATAAAAATAATAACACTATTACTTGTATCGCTCCAAAACAGAACTGCTATTATTATTACTTATTACTACTACTACTTATTACTACTACTAGTTACTAATACTACTAGTTACTACTACTACTACTACTACTACTACTACTACTACTACTACTATCAGTACGATACGATAGATCCGACCTGCATTAGACGCCTTCAAACGTTTCGGTCCGTCAGTATCAATACGAACGTCCGATCGCCAACTGCACACACGCTCGCGCGCGACGACGTTTTCAACGTGCGCATCGTAAAGAATTCTCATCACCCGGAAAACACTATATCCTGACCGTTTTTTTTTTTTTTATTACTTCACGCGGACGAGGTAAGTCACACCACATAAATATACACTATACATTTAGTCGTATTCATTATAGCTGTATAATTAATCGAATACAGTAGTATTTTCATATTCAAGAATTTTGCATTCCAAACATTTACTCCCCGTTTAGCTTATACGGTTGGAATTTCTATTTTTTTTTTGGGTTTTTTTTTTTTTACATTAAAATTCAATTACACCGATTAAAATGGTCTTGTTTTTGCTGCCATATATATATATATATATGATTTTTGTCCCATACAAATTGAACATGTTCGTCTGTTTAATGTTTGTACCCTACAATATTTATAATACTACGATTGTTGTAGTCATGTTTTATGAAATAATAATGTTAAATTCGCTATTATATTAACGAAAATGTATTATTTTATATGTTAATTTTATAATTTAAAAATCGTTTAAAAAATTATAATTTATGCTTTTGTGATCGTGATATGTTATAGATTTTAATAATATTGTGTAATAAATATTGAAAATGTAAGGCACATTATTATTCAATAAGAATTGTAATATTTAATTACACTTTCTAAAATAATATATGAAACACAGTTGCACCATTTTACGTGGGTTATTATAATTCATTCCCATAGAAGATATTTTTGGTCATGTGTCATCTATTTTGCTAGCTGTTTAAAAGTTATTTTAACTAGTAATTATTTGAAATTAATAAAAGGATTATAATATTAATAATTATTAACTAACTACTAAATATATATATTTTAATAATACACTTTGATTTAATATATTTATATACATGTATATTTAAAATAATTTAATCAATATAACAAGGAAAACCCAATAGTAAATTATTCGCATTATACATTTTTTCATGACCACTTTACCAGTTAATTAATTGCTGATTTATGCTTTTGCGAAATAATCGTGTATATAATAAATATGCTTTAAATTTTAGTAATCATTTTGAGTATATTATATGTTTTTTATGTTGTAAGTTACAATAATTAATTTAAAATTTAAAATCTTTTGCAATTTTTAGATAATCTCATCGTGTTTGTAAATAGTTGTTTACGATTTACAATTTTTATTATATATTTCATAAAAGTTATTAATTTATATATTATTATACGTTTAATCATAAAGTTGAGTCACATAATATTGTTAGTATTTCGTCTGCGATATGCATAGGCGTGCGCACGGAGGGTGCCGGATGTACTCGGGCACCCCTGAAATATTTATTAAACGGGGCCCTATAATTTAAGTCTAAGATTAATAGGCCTGCATTTTAACTGATGTTGTTCAAATTGAATGTGATTTATTCTAAAATATTTGGTAAAAAATAAATGATTTTTCGTAATAGACAGAATAAAACTAAATTTTATAGATTTTTGTGCAAAAATGTATTATAATAATATAACAGTTAGTGTGTATTCAGTAGCAATAGATTACAAAAATACAAATCATAAGTAGTCGAAGCTATTTAGGAAAAATATATGATATTCAAGGAAAAGATGTTCATTAAAACTAATTACAGTATTCAATAAAAAATTAAAGCTATGTTACACGTTTTGTTAAGATAGGGCCCAAAAAAATAGTAAACACCCCCTGAAATGCAGGTCTGCGCGCGTCTATGGATATGTATATCTAATTGCTATATTTTTTCATAGTAATATTGTAATAAACAATAATTAAATAGATTTCATTAGCTGTAAATACGAAAGAAGAATATTATTCTAAAATTAAACCGAAAGTTTTAAATATTTTGATGTGAGATCTGGTGGCGAATTTTCATAACACTCTATACACTTAGACCATGTTTGTGTTCTGTGTTACCCATTACTCAATCGCGTGTTTATGTGTATTATACATTCCACTTGAGTATTTCAATAAGTATATATTTAATTGTTTAGCAGATGAAAAAGGAACAGAGAGATTTTATAAATTATCTTAGTTGCCAAAGTACAAAGTTTCTTAACTCTGTACGATTATGAGGTTTTTTTTATCTAGTGTAGTGGCATAAAAAGATAAAAATGTAGAGATGCTAATTTTATGAAAACCTTTTCTGCTTCCAACCTTCTGGTTAGATTTTTTCTTGAAGTGATCGATCAAACTAAAAAGTTTTTTGCTTTTCAGTCAAAAACTAGAACTAGACTTATAAGTACCGATGACTTATGAAATTTGTCAATTCATACATTTTTTATTAGATACACGATGACAATACACCGTTCAACTGACAGAAATATATAAAGTATCCTGTTTCTTGAACATCTTGTTCTTTCCACGTATGTTTGATAGTTGTCAATTTTTATAATATTGACCCATGGGAATTCACGATAAAAACGTTGCGCTCAAATCATGTAAGTTTAATTTTGTTTAATAATATTATTTGTTTGACCATGTGGGGTGCATAACATGTAAAAAAAAAAAAATTAAGTATACTGTATAACTGCATCCGAACGGTGTGTATAAAAAGAAGAGATGGAGTTCGAAACTCATCTACATAGTTTTTCGGCACATAAATAAACATGCGGTCTTACAACGGTTATCGTATGATGTTTGTGGAAAAGTTTCTCGAAGAATTGTTTCCAACAGTTTTATCAGTAGTTGATATCATGTAGGATTGCCAGAGAAACACTTTCTCTGAAAAATAAAAACTAAATGACATATTATTATTATTATTACGTTTCATTTACATCGCAGTATGATACATATATATATATATATATATTGTACGTATAACAATTGTTAAAACGATGCAACAGTAACCGCGCACGCAGTGGTATGACCACAGTCACTTTTGCTCATTGTAATTTATATCATAAAATGTACTCTTTTCCTTTAGTTCTCAAAGCATTACGATGTCATGGCTTGTCTTATTAACTTATCGTGTTATCATGGTAGAATGATATAGTGTATTGGTTGAACCAAACGAACACAAAGAACGTCTGTTGTCTGGTAATAATATTATGAAGACCAAAAATGATAACTCATTTATACGACGGTTTCACGTGAAAATCTCGGTTCTTCGGTAGACTCGTGATTTGAATATGGTTAACGAAGTCATAACATTATTTAAGTGAATTTTTCATAACTTTAGATTTTAAATTTGAATTTCCCATTTGCGCGAGTTGTGTGTAGCTGCGAGTGCGTTATGAACATTTTCTTTGATCTATCGTCGAGAATGTACACTGCCATTACTTTTAGATGTTTGAGAAAAGTAGTCAAGGTCCCATTGTACTTGGGCAATCATATAAGGGATCAAGCTCCTGAGATATTTCAATGCCCTCCTAAAATCGTTATCGTATTTTCTGTACACGTTTAATAATTTATGTTTCTAGCGCGTACGGTCAACGAATGACAACATATTTTCATAAGCATATTTTCCGTATTATTCGTGCGGCCATTATAGGCAGGAAATAGCCGAGTGCAATATTACGTTGTTTGCATGTTATTGCTTATTATTATATGGGTACCCATGTATGCGATATCGTAACGTTTCACGTTACGTGTACACGTCCTGCAGCCACGTGTGTGTCTGTCGGCTACAGATTGGAAAAGAAAGACGCGCGTTTTCCTAAACAATACCTATGTGTACACCTATATAATACGTACAACAAATGCATATACGATAAACCGAGACGATAACAATAATAATAATAATAATAATAATAATAATAATAATAATAATAATAACAATAATAATAATAATAGCAATGATAAAGAAACGTTATACGCGCGTTATGGGGGCATTACGACAGATTATTACACAATAAAATAATAATAATAACAATAATATATTTCAATAAATATTACGGCATGTCTTCCCCTGCGGTTCTGCAGGCGTGAAGCGAATAGTGCACTATTGGTCGGCGAATAAATCGTGTGAAAGCGACATCGGCGATGATCGAAAAACGTGAGTGGCGGGACAGGTAATTGTTATTAAAGGGACTGAGTAAACCGTTTAATTTTCTTTACATTTAATTTACTTGTTTAATTATACAGTTAAAAGCTCATTAGCCAATGATCAAACTAATAGTCTGGGTATCTATTATATTTTTACATTAAATGTTGTATAATACGCAACTTGACTATTTTTTCCATTCGTTTGTAAAATGTAATTAACATATGCAAATGTATTTTTTCATTAAACTACGCTTGGAGAAGTAGTGAATACTTATTTCATCACTGCTGTGTACACCATAATAAACATTTAACAGTCTACACGTGAACATTTATTTTCAAAATTATTAATCGAGGTATTTAAAAAAATTATGAATAACGCAATTAATATTTCGTAGTCCCAGGTGATCAAGTGCTTATCACGGGTGAATATATATTCCATCATCTAAGTCAAGTTCGTATAATATTTTATATAAACTTGAAATTCAAAACAAATTTTTTTGCTTTTGTTGGATATATTCCAAAAATATTATTATAGATTACAATACACAAATATAAATTAAATATACACGTTTACTGATGAATAATATAAACATGTTTAAATAAAGAAGCCAGTAGAATTTAGGAAGTTAATGATCAATGAAATAATGGGAATGTTAAGCGATTGTTTGAGAGAATATTTGAGTCGTGAGCGGTATAACCGAAGGAAGATAGAAATAAAAATAGGAGTTTTCTCCTCGAAAAAAGAGAAG